CCGAAGCCCGCGGAACAGTTTATTAGGCAAAGGCTTTATTTCCATAAAGGCTGATAAGACTTCAAATGATTCAGTGAAAAACAGTCCTGGCAAAGCGCCGTTGTGTATTTATCTCTGCCGACGCTGCGAGACAATCAAGACAAAGATGATAGCACATTTTGAAATGCAGCGCAGAGGCGTAATGAGACTGCGGCTACTTCAGGAACAAAACCAGACAAAATGCTTCTTTTTTTTTTTCATAAATGGCTCCTTGTTTTATTCACTCACGCCACACACACACAAGAAAAAGAAAGGCCGTCATTTTCAATTAATGAAGCAGGGAATTGAGTCCGAGGTCCTGCGGGATGGGGATTAACCATGATGGCTTCAGGGCCCAATCTCACACTGAGTCTGCGCCGCGGTCTGCATGGAGGAATTTCTCATCCTCCCCCCCCCCCCACCACCTCCTACCCCCATCCATTCCTTTCTCCTAAGGTGAGTTGCTTCAGCGTAGACCGCCATTAGTGGTGGGGGGAGATAAAACTGTAAGTGTTGCTCCCAATTAGTGCATCAGTGACCGCTCTGTGCCTCCTCCACGGCGAGGCCTGCGAGGAGGGAGGGAGGGTTGTGAGAGATTGGGAGGACGGATGACAGCGAAGGAGAGAATGGCAGGAAGACGGTGGCTTTGGAAAGGGAATAAAAGAAAGGGAGTGGGTTATAGTGGGAGCTAGATAAAGAGAGATGAGAGGGAGAAGGAGGGAGGATGGGGGGGAGTGACTAAAAAATGGCTTAAGCATTCATTTTGAGTGGCGAGACAGCTCCTATTAACATTTAACAGCGTTTGCGCAACTTGGTGTGGAGGTTAGGATGCAAATGAGGAGGAATTAAAACTGGCCAGAGGTTTGTCATTGATGGATTGCAGTCTGCCGGCACTCACCACTTCCTCGTGTCCATCACGGGCGATTACTGTATAATTAAACCTTATTTCTGGACTCTCCGACGCATAATTACTTGTGTGGGAATGTAACCATCATCTAAAAGCTCCGGCAAAACGCTTTAGCATTTAGTCTGGCGGGCTGCAGTCGTCTCACAGGCCGGTGACAGATAGAGCCATCTGACGATCGGCAGAAGAACAGTCACTTTTAATAAGAGGTGGGGGAAAAATATCAGGCGACAGTGTGCTGATTATAGGAAAATTAGGCTTTTAAGTGGTAAAGTCCTTTGTGTTATTTGCATAATTTATTCTGGCTTTACACCCCCCCTCTGTTCAACCACCTCTGGTTTCCTTCTTTCTTTCCTTTTTTTTTGCGAGCTGTGGGCAATTTCCTCTCATATTTGAACGGATTGCACATTTAAGTCTACTTAAGGAAAATCGCTTAGCATATTTTAATTGTCGTGCAAAGAGGTGCGAGAGGCAAAGCTTTATGGAGTGAGGACCCTTTAAAAGTGAGGAGGACACGGTGGCCGTCGTGCCGGGTGACCTCGGGGGTGCACACGCCCGCGTACAGGCCTTTGTACCGCTGGAACCTTTAAATCACAAATAAAACTAAACAGTCTGCACTCTGATTCAGATAAAAACTTTCGATATTTCCTGTATCGCTGCCCCTCTGTCGAGACCAGCCTGCTGCTTCAGTGTTCATAAATCTCTTCTTGCTGGTTGCTTTACATGTGATGGACAAAAAATACAAAAGGCTTGTGTCACAGATAATTCCTGATCATGGCTATAGCATGTTTCAAAGTGGGAAAATTTAGAAAACAGCAGCCCTCGCTGCACTCTAACCTCTGGTGGAGCGTTTCCAGTTTCCAGAGATAATTATAGAGGCCCATAGAGCAGCTTCCCACACCTCGCTGCCAGCCATATAATGATACCTTGGAAAATGTAGTGGGCTAATGCACATCATTTTCATTAAGAGCGCTCGCGTAATCCAAATTCTTTGTGATGGAGGAAGATAATTAATGCTTTAATGTTTTGGTCTTGCCACTCTCGCCACAGCAAGAGAAATGAATTGTTACATTTTAATGAGAGAAGCGACAGCGCCGGCTTCCCGCGCAACACGGATGATTTTATAATTGCACACAAGGGTGACTAACTCAAGGCTCATTAAGACGATTTTTCAGCTGGGCTATTTTTTGGCAGGACAATACATATATGTTCCATTCTACTGATAAATAAATTCTGTAATTAATCTTTTGTTTTGTGTCGTTCCTCGGTAATGTGACGTGAAAAGGAAGGAGAAAAAAAAAGACAAGACGTACACGATATAATCTCCCAAGAAAATGTCTTTAATGAGTCCTTCGTTGCTGCTTGTACCTAAGATTACATGAAAATACATTGACTGCAAGTATGGCAACATATTCACACATATAAACAAGTGGTGCATTTGTATTGTATGTATAGGTATGTACAACCGAAAACACGTTACACTCTGGTTTTAAAGTTGTGCAAGTGTGTTATATATACTAACAATTTATAAAATTCAACACACTAAATAAAAAACAGAAGAGTGTGCCCACGTATATACACATTCACCACAGTAGTTCACAAAAGATTAAAGCAAATGTATTGGATTATACATTTCCAGGTCGCCTTTCAGGTCGACCCCGACTCTTCCCTCCTCACAAATCGCTTGTGAGTGTTTTTTTTTTTTTTTGACGTCAGTGTTATCGGGCGTGTGTGTGTGTGTGTTCGGCCTGTAGCTCCCGTCTGACACACGGTGACAGACACACACACACACACACACAAGGCTACGCTGCAGCCTGCGGTTGCACCATCAGCTAAATGTTTTAAGTACAGTCATCTGAGGTAGACTGCGCAAAACTTCATGGTGTCGCTCTCTCTCTCTCCGCTTCATTTTATTTTAATTTTTTTTTTTGTTTTTATTTTTCGATGCGTTTTTTTCCCACAAATGTCTTTGACATTTGGATAAATCAAATACCATGTGTGTTTTGTAGCCATGAGGTAGAAATGCTTTGAAGAAGAACTCTGGCGTCCATTTAAAGAAAGGTTTAAAAAAACAAAAAAAAAGCTAGATTTAAACACCATGTAGAAAAAAGGTCAAGACACAAAAAAGAAGGACCACAAGACACGTAACAAACAAGCGTAGCGTTGACCGGCGTGTTCCAAGTCCTTCTGTTGGTCTGCTGTGGAGCCTGTGCTGTTGTTGTGTGCTCTGAAGTGCATTAGTAGGTTTTTCTGCTCTGAAGGGACTCTGCCTCCAGAGGATTTGCTGACAGAAGGAATTCTGGTCCAGATTGTTTTGAGGGTGGTTTTCTGACGGACCACTCTTGCTCCCCCCCCCCCCTCTCTTGTGCTGCCGCCACACTGCCTGGCTGTCTTGCCTTTTCCGTCAATTTTGCTGACGCTCAGCAGAACTCACCCCACCCCCCCACCACCACCACCACCCCCACCCCGCATCAGGTGCTGCACTGACGGTGCCTCGACCAGAGATTTAGCCACACAGAATGGGGCCTGAACATACAGTATTTAGCTCCTAGTTTATACTTTATATTTAAAAAGAAACAGGATGCACAGTAAAAGTTGATCATCCATCTCCTTCAGGATAGATACCAGACAGACGAAGCAAATATACCTCAACAAAAAACAATATTACACACAGAATGCTTCAGTGCACGGACATTGAACTACCTTAAGCACTGCTGTGTCACAACAGTGGAGCTAAAGGACAGCGTCTTACAAAGAGGAGAGGCCAAAAAATAATACATTCCAATGCGACACAATGGGCAACGGATAACCTTCAGAGACGAAGGACTTTTAAGAGTAGCGGCACAGTTCCTCACTCATGTTACAAAGCTTTTCAGCCAACTGAAGTATGTATCCAAATGCATTTATCTGTGTAAATATCGTGAGAAACGGTTACAGATGAGAAGAATAAAGAATGCTGTTTGAATTGGATTAGTCAGTCTGGGTCATTTGATTCAAATATGTCTTTAATAATAATGCTATTTGCATGACAGGTGTCAATCAATCAGAATTGCGATTATGAAATTACCTCTGGCCTCCAGCAAAAACAGTAATTTACTGTCTGCTTTCCAGACTTGCATGTAAAGCATGTAAGATATGTGCTGGATGAACGGCTGTGTCTAATTTAAATTACGGGAGTGGCATCCCATAATACAGATAATCCAGTTCAAATGCAGCTGAAGAGCGTGAGTGACAAGGCAACTTTGCAAAATCCATATTTCCATATCTACGTAGGTTGTGACACCTATCAAATCCAACTTAAAAACTGGGAGGACATCTGGAATGAGCTCCCTTAATCCTTGTTATGAAAAAAAAACAAAACAGATTTTCCTTGAATGCAACAGATGAGATTTCCAATACAGCTTTTTATGGCCTAAACCAAATGGAGTAAACTAGATGAAATGATAAGATAAGACACACCTTTATCGATCCCCAGCGGGGAAATTGGGTGAATTGACATTAAGTCAAACATTTAATTTGCACAAAGAGATACAGTAAATTGTCTTTGATATCACTGTGATCTAAAAGAGTAGTTTGATATTTTTGGGAAATGTGCTGATTTGCTTTGTTGCCCGAGAGCTAGATGAGAATGTCCGTTACCACTGTCATGTTGGGTCTTTCAGTACGAGGCTACAGCCAGCAGACGTTAGCTTAGCGGCACGTAAAACCACACATTGTTGTTTTATCAATTCAGTTTTCGTACGGATTAAACAAGCGAAAGTATAAAAGTAATTTTGTTACGTTCTGACCGAGCCGGGCTAGCTGGTTTCCCTGTTTCTATGCAAAGTTAAGCTAACCGGCTAACGGCGCTAGCTGCGTCTTCTCGTCTAACTCTCGGGAAGGAAGGCAAATGAGCGCATTTCCCTAAATGTCGAACTGTTCCTTTCGATTTTTTGGAGGAGTTTTTAGCATCAAGTTCATCCACGTCAGAGAATAAATCCCCACTCACTTAATAATATGACAAATGAGTTGATCATTTGTGCAGAAGTTAGCTTGGAGCCTCCATGCAGCCTAACCATATAGCCTAGATCGCTTATATAAACAATGCTGATTATGGTTGTTTTAATAAATATACAACTCCCATCACCCCGACACCTGCTCGTCTCTTAGAAACCCCCCAAAAATGTAATTGTTTTTTTAAAAAGCGATGGAAATAAGCTTCAAGATTGGTCAAGTAGAAACAGGTAACTCGAGCACCTGCTGTGAGGAAAAGAAAGAAAAATGTTTTAACTTTTTGATTATGTCCCGTCATTCCAGAAAAGATCTAGTACATTCATTGTCACCTCTCTGCTGTTTATCCTAGCCAGTGGAGGTACAGCTAACACTGCTTCGCTAAACATAAACTAAACCTCGGATTCTCCCCTCAGGTCTAAGTGCTTTTTCGTCAAGATATCTTGAGGTGCTGTACAATTCACAAACGCGTTCCTGAGTTTTGTTTGTTACGTTTGTTTGTTTTGCAGACACGGGATCAGAAGAGAGTCAGGGCCCAGACTACTGCCGCCCTGACCGATTGCTGCTCCTAGCAGGACAATAAAGAACGATTGACCGACTTGTCAATCTCAGTTTTTGCAGACTCGCCGCTGAAGTTTTAAAGCTCTTAATAATCGTCAGCTCATGCCATGAATGTAGATCGTGAGGCAAATAAACAAAGGAAGAAAATCAGAAAGCACCACTTCAGGCACTTGGATAGCCAACTAAATCTCAAGAACAAGAACGTAACGATATATATACACAGACACTGGGGCGTCTCTTCTGAAAGCCAACTTGCTTGCAATGTGTAAACAATGCCTGGCTTTCTGGAGTGTCAAGCATTCAAATTAAAACTCTTGCTCGTTAACTGCAGACCTGCCAGTTGTCTCATGAAACCAGGTCTCCCGGCGCGTCTAAAACCCTGCCTGTGAGAACTCAGTGGGCTTGTGTTGGCCTTCTGTGTGCCTTTCCCTCCAGCACAATGCTTCTGCCCTGAGGGGAGGAATTGTGGATGCCTCTTTTTTCTCAAGGGCGGAATCTATCTTTTCACTGGCTGCAGCCGAACATTTTGTTCCACTCAGTGTACGTGTCAATCTCTTTCTGTGATATACTGGCTTGGAACTTACAAAAGACACTCTCAAAGTCCTGGTAGGTGAGGGGCCTGACCTGTCCCCTGGGCATCATACCCGACATGTCCATGCCCTGTGCAGAGACGTGTAACAGACCCACCAGGGCCTCCTGGCAGAGTCTGGCCACGTCCAGGCCGGAGAAACCCTCGGTACGCTGGACCAGCAGCGCCAGCTCCTCCTCACTCAAGCAGTATTTGTGCTGAGATTGAGCCAGGAGCTGACCCACGATCTGGTGTCGGGCTCCGCCATCCGGCAGGGGCACCAGGACCCTCCGAGAAAAGTACCTGCGCAGCCCTTCGTCCATGTCCTGGGGTCTGCTCGTGGAGCAAACCACCAACACTTGGTTGCCTGCGTCCTCGCCTGAGCCCATGAGAAGTGAGTCCAACTGGGCAAGGAGCTCCCCCTTCAGCCGGTTGATGGGGCTCTCTTCGCTGAGGTGTGCCGACAGCAGCATGTCCACCTCACTGATGAACAGTACAGAAGGCTGCCGGCAGCGCGCCACAAGGAAGGATGCTCGGATAATTTTCTCCCCCTCTGCCAGCCACTTGGTGGCCAACGTGGAACCGTTGAGCTGGAGGAACGGAGCCCCTAGCTGGCTGGCCAGGCAGCGACCCAGCAACGTCCTGCCACTGCCCCTGGGGCCAAACAGCAACACGCAACGTGGGACTGGTCCTAAACTGCTGAACATGTCCGGGCGCAGGATGGGCCACAGGACCTCCTCCTTCAGGGTTGCCTTGGCCAGTTCTAGTCCTGCAATGTCACTCCAATCCACTGGGGGCCCCTGCTGAACGATTTCAGAGGTAACCATGTCCAGGAGGTGGGGGTCACTGTTTTTTAGCTGCTGTTCGGCAGGCCGGGAGGAGGAAGTGGACGAGGAGGAGGTAGGCCCTGGCGCCGAGTGGGAGAGGTGGAGACGGAGGTCATCAGCGCCTTGCTCACTGAGGGAAGGGGAGGTGAAGCTGCCAAGGGAATCCGTTGAGCGGGAACCCCCCAGGGTGGAGGTGACATAGGCCGGTGGAGTCAGCGGACCACCTGTTGCCTGGCTGCTGTACTTCCTCTGCTGCTGCTCTGAGGACATCGTGGACTGCTTCTGAGGATTAAAAGGTAAAGACGACTTCTCCGCACCTCTGTCGAATCCACCACCGGCGCTGTTGGAGCCTCCATTTGCGCTGCTGCTGTCAGCTATCCTGTACATGGGACTCTCAGCAGAGCTCCGGGCCTGGCCGTAGCCAAAGTTAGCGTAAGCAGAGTCTATCTCCCCTTGGCCGGTCATGTAGAAGGCTTTCCTCTTCAGTGAGTTGGAGGAGCTACTGTTGAGAGGCGTGGGGGCGATTGGGGTCAGGTTATGGCTCTGGTATGGGTATCCAGGTAAAGCAGAAGAAGGGGGAAGGGGTGTAGGTGCAGCGATGCCTGAGGGGAGGTATGAGGATGGAGGGGGTGCTCCCCCAGGGCTGTATCCTGGCCCGACTGAGCTCTGAGCTGGGTAGCCTGCTGGGGGGTAATTATAACTAGACAAGTTGGGGGAGCCTCCGTTGTAAGCTGGGACTAAAGTGGGGTGGGAGGGCGGATGCGGCGGCTGCAGGAGCCCAGAGCTGTGCAGCGGGGAGGGAAGCGCTGGGGCCTGGGCGGACTGGGAGCTGTAACTACTGTGCAGGTAGGAGCTGCCGTATGGGGGGCCGTATTCCTGAGAGGACATGGAGGAGGTGTGGAGGGCGGTGGCGGTGTGGCTCCCGCAGCTGCTGCTGGAGTAGCTGGGCTCGCTCAGGGTGCTGGAGGCCAGGCCCGGGGAGCTGCACATGCCAGACACCACCTCTGAGGCCGCCGCCATCCCTCCCTTTCGGATAGAGACCCCCTCAGGGATGCAGCTCATGGGGTAAACGCCATCCTGCCAGGGCTCCGATTCCCCTTTGCGTCCGTTCATCACCCCCGGGGCCTCCGAGTAGGAGCCCGGCATCTCCAGAATGCCGGAATACTTCTCGGCATACTTCTTGAGCAGGTTGGAGGCGGTGAGGGCCGAGATGTCGTCATTGGCCCAGGCGTACTGGTAGGCGGCTGAGCGCTGCAGGTGGCCAGGCACCGCCCTGTAGGCCTCAGCCTTGTGGGCTGGCGAGCGCGTGGTGGAGGAGATGTCGAAGTGCTGTTCGGCCCACTGGCTGTGCTCGGGGGTCCACTGCATCTTTAAGCCTGAGAGAAACGGAGACAAAGACAACTGCATGTGAACACATTGACATGTTAAAATCTGTTTCGCAATAATTACAAATGACAACACCTTCAAATTGCCTGGGATGGGAGGGTCGTCAATTAAAAAGGTGATATTCATCAGGAGGCTTGTTCGGCGTGGTGCTCTATTATTTTCTATTTTTCTTCCTGATATGTACTTTTGAGAGGGTGTTGTGTCCGACCGCATATAAGTTGTCCATTTCTACAGATCCTAAGATGGACAGAGTGGGTGTCGGCAGGTATAGTGCGGCACAGAGGGATTGTGGGATGGCTGGTTACGGCAGCCCTAATGCACCCTGGCCAGACCAATAAGACAGAGGCATTGAGGGTCACTCTATAATCCCCGGCTCATCTGAGGTGGCTGGAGATGGGTTTGAAAATGCGCCTCGCAGAGTACCACAAAGCAACACACACACTCACATACACCCCTCCTTTGCTCATGATGCTTTCATCGCACACACACACACACACACACCCGTGCTCAGACACACAGGCGTTTGGAAAAAAAACTACCTATGCCTGCACTCAGGCGTGCACGTGCACACACACACACACACACACACAGCCTCACGTCCACTGACCCAGACGGACAAACACAGGGCGCGCGCAGGAGCTACAGCGAGCAATGAATTACAACACATTGTGTCTCAAGCTTAGTTCCTGTCTGCACGGCTCCACCTTGACCTCCTCTCTCTCTCTCTCTCCACCGCTCTCTCTACCTTCCTGTCTGCCTCTCTTCTTCATGTCTTCTCCCCAAGCCTCTCCTCTTTGCTTTTTTTGTGTCGTCCATTTGCCACCCCCACCACCTTCCGCTAGATCCTCTTTTATTTCTCTTTACCTCCCCTTTTTATTCTGACTCCATCTATTTCGATACCTCTCCTTTTTCATTCCCCCCTTTTCCTTCGTGGCCGCCCCTCCTCGTATTTACTCCCCGTGTGCTTGCTTCGCCTCCTCCCCTCCCCTCCTTGCTCCATCTCATCTCAGACACACTCACCTGGCTCTCCCCTTTATTGCCTCGGGAGGCTGGAGAGCCACTGTTTCCTTTAATCCCAGCCAATGCCATCTGCAAACACTGACAGTCGCACGGCCGACTCCATAGTTGTCTCACTATCAAAGCCGCGGTGGCATCAAAGGCCGGAAGGGGAGTAAATCACAGCCGCTGCGGCAGATTGAACCCCCGTTTGATTTGACTTAGTGCACACAAATAAAGGATAATATCGGTGTCATTTAGGCTGCTTCCCCCGACTTATTGACTGGCTGCGGATGCATGTGGGGATCCGCAGCTGGGGGTCTGGTAAGCGAATCCCTACTTCAGAATTGGTTCGTGCGTGTGTTTGTGTGGGCATGCACAATGAAATCCATTCATAGAGGAGCAAATCTTCCCCCATCCTCCTATCCACTTATGCTACTGCAAACACACACAAACAGCAGACACAGAGACACGATCACACTCTCTTGCTCTCTTTTCTGAGGCCCTGTGTTTGTTTGGTAACAACACAGGGGAGGGAGGAAAGGGGGGGGGGGGATCCCTAGACTCCTATTTCCTCTCTGATCCTCCTCTCCAGCCATCTCTCGGTAGACGCCACTGGCTAATTAGCAGAATGGCGATCTGCTAATTGTGTTAATTTACAACATTTTAGCCGAGGGGAGTCTAGCAGGGGCTGGCAAGCCTGTCACCCCCCCCCAGTGTGGCCAGCCGACGCCTCAGACAAAAGGCTGAGCAGAGAAAAGTTTTGTATTAGCCGGGAGGCTCCTTTAATATTGAGGATATATTAGGCTTATATTAGACAAAATTAGGCTCCAGGCCAAATCCAGGTAGACACCGTTATACTGTTATGTGCTTTTTTTTTTTAAAACATAAAATCAAAGGATCCGAAAAAGGAGTTACGTCAATACGGCAATCCTATCTAATAACTGTTGTTGTTTATCCTCCCTAATACCGTGTAATCCCAACACAGCGCAAACAAATATACAAATAATATCACTGTCTCGTGGCAACAGAGTAAATCATACAACGTTTAAGAGCGTTTAGAGTCGGGGCTTGTTCTCGGTATTGTATTCTGAAGCCACACGTTTGATCTGTGGCCAGGAGCAAAACGCCGGTCTGGCGGTGCACGTTCTATAATTTCAACATTAGCTCATTAATAGATAATACGTAGCTGAGGAAAGTGAGGGGGAAAAGGCTCCGAGGCCAGATCCAGCCTCGTCTTCACTGCACGTCTTTCTCGCGGTCTCTCGACGCTCCGGCACGCCATGAAGCTGCGTCACAGACCGCGGGGGTCAATCTACGTGTCATTTAATGCTGCAGTAAGTAGTCTGCCATTCAGTGATCGAGTTCTATTGACCACCGCTGGTGATCCAGTACTTCACCTTGGCTTTTACTCTTGCTGTGTAGTTACTGCGTTCTGGCTTTATGTTGCAGTTACTGCCTGGCTCGGCTTTTTCTGGGCTCCAGAACCTGCCGTCACACTTCAGTGCTCTCTTTGTGGCTGCTGTGTGTTGGCAACAATCTAGTGATACGACATGTGTCATGAAACAGGCGGTACCATTCAAACACAAACTTAAGATTAATACATCCCTGTATGTGACACAGTACACATTTTACAAGACAGCTAACAATCGCTATAACTGCTTGACAATAGCTGCTGAGTTAGCAACCGCTAGCTTTAGCGAAAGGCAAATTTACTGAGAGAACAGAGAACAGGATGGAGATGTGAGGAAGGGAGGATGGAGAAAGGCACGGGCAGAAGACGAGGGGGGGAGAGCAGAAAAAAATAAAATAAAAACAAGCCTCGCGAATCGCACGCGCTCCTCCTCCGCATAGTTTGACGCTCCATCAAACTGCGATGTGTCCATTTACAGAAACATGAATCTTTCTAATTCAGCCATTAATAAAGATAACGTATATAAAAGAGTGTGTCAGGCTCCATCAGGGCTTTCATCTCCTCTATAATGAGGTTAATGCGGAGACGCAGTGATTACCCCGGCAATGCAAATGAAGGCCAAATGATAACTTGCACTATTTAAATAAGGTAATAGCGATTACTCTACGTTATTCAAATGAGGAGGGATACTTTGAACCGAGCGCTTTGAACTCGCCGCTCCTGCTCCAAAACATATGAAAGGGAAGGAGGGAGGATTGACTTTGGAATCCGCGTGTATCCTCTAATTCAATGTGATGTAAACCAAGGGCAACGAGCAAAGCAAAGTCACATAATATGGACGGCGCAGGGTGGGCGGCGTCGACAAGGAGAGTATTTAAGGTAGCCTGGCTGCTTTATTCTCGCTTTTAAAAGCCCTTAAAAGTCATTGAGAAGTCCTTTAATTCACTGACAAAGGAAAAAGAGACGTGGATAAAAATAAACACAAATATCCTCCGCTGTGTTTTTCTCTGCATGTTAACAACAAGGACTCTGAATGCCTCCCATTCATTTACAAAAACTTCCAAGAACCTTTTTTTGGGGGGGGTTTAAAATATGAAAAGAATTCAGTGGAGCCCAATTTGTCCGAGCCTTTTTACATTGAAATTAGTGTATTCTGGCTGCGATTCATTCATTATTTTTGTTCTGGTTACGACAGACCTGCGAGCTTGAACCCCTTGTTTGATTTTCTCCACAATCTTCTGAGTTTTTTTGTCTTTTTTCGAGGCCTGGGGGAAATTCACGAGTCATCTGGATGGACACATTTAAGTGTGAGGGTAAAAGTGTGTGTTGCAGAGAGAGACCGTGCACTCAGCTGAGACAACATCCAACAGAAATCTTCACCACCTTCTGAGGCGTCAAGCTTGCCGGCGCTTCGTTTTTTTTCCTTCCTTTCTCACTTCTTCTTCTCCTCCTCCGGCCTCCACATAGAGAAGCCTAATCATTCTCATTACACTCGGCGTCCATCTGCATCAACAGAGCTGCCTATTACCGCGCGTGTGTGTGTGCAGTAAACAGCTCTTTAGAGAGAGCTAATGAGCTCTTTTAAGTCTGTCCGCTGTGTGATTCTGCAAGCGGGGTGTCAGAGCAAACTGCCCATTTCGGTAACGTCATAATTAAGCCGTGTGTGTGTGTGAGAGGAGGACGAAGAGATGCAGACACACACACATCCTGAGACAAGACGTACAAATGTGTGTGCCCTTTTTGTCTTTCTAACGCAAACAGACACTGAAGACCTTCAAGAACAAGCTATCGTGTCATATTCTTTATATATTTAAAAAAAAAAAAAAAAAAGTGTAGGAGGAGAAGCTGCATGACAGGCGATAACTTCATCAAAAGAGACCTGTTTTCACACACCACCGGGGAAATCTAACCGCTTATTCAAATCCTTATCAAATACACCGGAGGGCATCTTTTAACCTCTAAATCGCTGCACTCAAAAAAAACCCGCATGTAGCTACTGTTCTATGAGTGTGTGCAGGGCCCTGTGTGTGTGTCTGACAACCTCCGGACCACCTTGTTAATGAGTCCAGCACACTGTGACTAAGCCACGGGCTACGCTGTATTGGCACACAACCTGCAGCAGAGAGTCAAATAATGTGATTAGGTCCCCGCAAAAGGCAATTAATTATGAAATTACTCATACGCAAAGTCAGAACTCCCTGCCCGCGTTTCGCGTCTTCTTCCGAGCAACAGTTGCGGGAAAAGTGGCAAAAAAATTTAAAAGCTCTTCATTACGCGTGGTTCGTTTGGAATCTGAAATAAAAAAAGACAAAATGCGTGAACCAAGCTCCTCTTCCGTCCCCATGTGAGATGGCAAAAAAATGCAAGAATCCGGATCGCCGTCTTTGAAGCCGGCGGTTGGAGCCCAGCCACAGCTTACCATTACAGCGACTTGAGTCTGTCGCAGAGCAACGACGACGACAACAACAACAACAACAGATAAGGGAGTAAACAGAGAGAGTTCAAAGTCTAGACGGCGAGCAGTGACCGGGGAGAGATGAGCTGTCACTAACTCAAAGACAGTAAGAGAGGGGGGGGAGG